AATCTAGCAAATCTGATTATGCTGTGTCTTCTCCTTCTTCTTATAGTTCAGTGAATTAGGGAGGTGTCTGTCTGAGTTGCTCCCAAAGGTTACCTGGACTTCTGGACTTTAAAAATGCTTTAGCCCTGTTGCCTAACAGAGCCTGCATATCTCTGTCAAGGTGATCTTCCTTACTCTCTAGAGTAAGATCTCAGAGAAACATCCAGGCTCTAGGAAAAAAAGTTAAGTCTTGTGGCCCCTTAAAGAATTTCAGATTCATTATGGAGGTCACTTGGCCAGATACATGAACTCTGGGACCCAGCTGGCCAACCACTACATCCTATACAAGCACACACAGGTACAGAGCAAAGCAATCAACAACAGGGCCTCTGAAACGTTCAGAAAAATCATGACATCTCTTTACAGAACCCAAATGTATGCAGGATAAGAACTGAGAGAGAGAGAGAAAGAGACCAGCTAGGGAACTGTCTTCTTGTGGCAGCTGTTGCAAATGTGGCTCCCCGTGGCAAAACACAAGATCAGCAGGATCTGGTTAAAAGCCAACGTTTCCCAATCTTGGCAACATCTGGATGGCCACTAGTGTCTGTGGAGGGCCAGTGTCATAAAAAGCAAGATGGTGGTCATGCAGTGCAATCAAAGCCCCGTCCCTCTGCATGTGTGATATCGATGCCTTTTCAACTTTGATGTGCTGTCACCACTGCCATCCATTTTGACCCCTTCTTAGGGTGGCCATGGGCATTGCTGAGAGTTCTGGGAGTCCACAGAACTGGAAGTTGTCAAGATTGAGAAAAACTACAGTCCATCGGGATGTTTCTTTGCTTTGTACTGGGCTTAAATGCCTTCTAGTCATAACAGACAATGAGTCGTATCTATTCCTGATATAGTCACCAGATTGAAACAAGCATGCAAGAAGTATATAATCAATATATGTGTTCATCCAATGTTGGGAGGTGGCAAGGAATGGTGGTGGTGGCCCCTATGCTGGCTCAGGATGGGGTTGCACTTCCCCTGAAAGAGCAGGCCCTCAAATTCTCCTGGACATCTCGCTTCTTGGGCTATCCCTCCAGGCTTTGGGGTTTGAGTGGCTTGGGGCTGTCCTTTATGCTGTGGGTTGTTTGAAATGGCATAATTTTTATGAGCGTTATCATTTTAATGTGAACCACTCGGAGTCTGTAGAATCAAGTGGAATAGGCATTATGTGAATAAATAAACAAGCAATGCAAATCTATTTTCCTGGAACATGCTTTTCCCCCCCATATGTTTTTGATTATTTGTTGCATATAGTTGTGAGAAGGGTGTCTGGGGAAAGCGTTTGGGTTAGGTTGCCGCTAGCTGAGCCAGGAAATTGTGAGAGCGTTTTAAAAATTGGGTGGGGAAGATAACATGTGGGAAGGAACAGGTGCTATCTGTTGCCCCTGACTCTGCCCTTGCTGAACACAGACCTCACCTTTGTCCCAGTGGGGCTGCCCACTCATAAGGAAGTGAAGAGCTTGGGGTTGATTAAGTTCTTAGCAATTCCATTCTGTTTTCGTTTGAACACCCATTGGGTATTTTCACATTTGGTTCCAGTAACATTTTAGATGGTTGACGTCCAGCCAGATTCTGTGCAAATCCTCTTCAAATTCTATCCAACTCTTTTCACTGGTGTTTCCTCCCAGGTAAATGATGGAATTGCAGGCCAGCGAGAACAGACTCTTTTTTCATATAATTCAGAGAGATTTACTTGCAGATCTAATAGCGTTAGCTACCTAGATGACAGGAAACAGTGATTAAATCACATTCAACCTACTCTAAATGCTATTTTGATGTGGCTGGATTTTCTTTTGAAACTGGTTTTGTCTATCCAGAGCTCATATATTCGAATGCAAAAATTAAACATGCGTGTTACGGAGTACAGCAAATGCATGGAATATTGTACTGCACAGTCAACATCCGACTGTAGGCCAGCATTTGGCTCATTTTTTCTATTTTTTTTTTTCTCTTGTTGTCATCCTGCCTCCTATGAAAAGCTCAGCAAAGGCACTTTGGAGCAATTGGACATTTAGGATGTAAAGTCAAGGAGAATGTCAGATAGATAAGATGGCCAGAAGTTTTTCCCCAAAGCATTGTATATGTGATAGAGATTGCAAATATATCATCATTTTTAAAGGCCGTTATTTCTCATGGAGGCCTCTCTGCTTTTTCTCCACCTTTCAGGTAGTGGCAGAGTGCCATCTGGCTGGACAATGCCAAGGGATTAGACATCCTTTGTGCCTTTTTGCTCTTTTCAAAACCGGACTGGGATCTACACCCAAGTGGGCCTTTTTGTGGAACCCTTTACTGTTTTTTTCCTCCCCTGTGACTTCTGCTGCTCTGACTGGTTTTGACTGGTAGGAAAGGGGGACCAAACATTTAAACAAACAAATAGAAAAGTGCAGCATGATGCCAAAGAGCTGAAATGCTGCACGTGTGTTCCCAGTGTTCCCAGTCACTTCTGCTTGATTCGTATCAACGTCCCCAGCCCCAGCCCAAAGCAGAGGCCGGCTGCCACACAGAGGGTTGCACAGAAGTCTGTGGTCATCTTGTCTGCTGGCACTGTGAGAACAGTCAGAGCTATCTGTGCTTCCCCACCTGATCAAAAAGACAGCATAGAAGGTGGAGGTTGGTCAGTGCTCCTTGGCCCCACCAGTGTTGTTCACGGCAAACAGCCCTTCTCTCCCTCCCAAACCACAATGGGGAAATTCCTAGCACTACAGTGCTTAAAACTTTCATGGGTCAGGGGAGGGTGGGAGCCAGAGAGCTGGGAAACAGAGATTGGTAAGAGTTCCTGGCAAGGTAAAGCACCCTGTTCCCCAGGCTCACAAATTGCTCCCATTTTGCAATTTCAGACTATCTATCTATCTATCTATCTATCTATCTATCTATCTATCTATCTATCTATCTATCTATCTATCTATCTATCTAT